CCCCAAAACCCCAAAACCCCAAAACCCCTAAGAATGGATATTTCTACTTCTGTTGATTATAAATAATTGATACATCATTTTAATAAATAGCTTCACCTCATTGGCTCAATATTATTTTTCGGCTATTCAGAGGTGATTTATAGTGGCAGCTCTGTTAAGAGTCTTATCTTTACCCCATTTTCAACAAATGATACGTTTTATGAATTAGTGGATGTGCCACCAAGTTTTTAAGATTTGTTACGACTGTTCAATGCTGAACCTTTGATGTTTTCTAAGATACTATTCGAGTTAACAGCATTAAATTCCTATAAAATTTGATTAAAAAGTAAAGTTAGTAATACTTTCCAAGCTTTTATTGTTTTTGTGTCTTTCTTTTAATTTTATAATGCCAGCATTTCCATTTTGAAATCTCTCAATTTTTTCTCAGGGGAATTTATAGATCTTTCAATTCTCATCTTTGAAGCCTGAATATCCTAGTAAGCATTATTCACACTCTGGTTTTTGGTGTTTGGACTATAGCTCAATTAATCTGTATTATTTTCCTCATTGAAAATGCTGATGTTGTTTTCGACAACAGGAAAGAGCTGATCACCATTCTATTTATAGTAGTCCTCTATATATTATTGCCTTTTAACATTTTTTAGTCTAAGATCCTCAATTGGAGAATCTGTTTTTTCACCAACTATTCTTTACAAGAATTTTTTCACCATCGCATTTCGCTACAGAATAATTTAGATTATCTAAATTAGAGCATACCTTTGGGTTGAAATTTGCAGTGGTCAGATATCCATTAACTGAGGTTGATCTAGAATCTCTTGTCATTAGGCCAACATTTAAATTTACTGCATTAAGGAACATATTACTCTAAATAGTAAATAATAAGATATCTATTTCTTACGACATTTTTCTTATTTTAGATTTCAAACAATAGCTATTTACCTTCTTTCTCAAAATCTGTATATTCCTAGATTATTTACCTAAATTTGTCCTTATCCTCTGTATTGAAATATTCCATAAATTCAGTTTTATTAGCGTAAAGACATTCAGTATCTTCTAATGCTCTAGCTCTTATTAGCCTTTTCGGATTTTCTAGTATTACTTCTTCCATTCCAAATATTGAAGATGGACCAAGAGTCAGAATATTTCTTCTTACAACTTAGAATGTCCTCTTTATCTGCCATTATTTGGTACCTACTGGAATAGAGTTGGTTCTTTCTATCTCATATAGAATTTCTAAAGACACTCTACCACTCTTTATAATGTACAAGGACTCAGTCGATGAGCCAAGCTCATAAATTTCTAGAAATTTGAATTAATTATCTTAATTTACTTTAACCCTTTTTGAACTGAGTCTCATAAAGTTTTCTTGAAAATCCCTTGATCTTGATTATATTCCAATCACCAATAACATGCAATCTCCTTAATAAATTTTGATTTTAAAGCTTCTATTATGCTTTAAATAAAGAGACAGTACTGTCATAGTCAGCTTTGTATAAGGCCAAGCATTTACATTTTTAGAGAGCAATAACAGATGCTCTACGCTTAGATCTATACTCTAGAGCTGACTCACCAATCAAAGTGTGTGGGCCGACCTCAGTTACCTTTTTGCCATCTACCTGAATCTCGGCTTTTCCTTCATAGATTATAAGTAAAAAGTCTCCATCATCATCTTGTTTTATCACTAGATTTTATTACATTAAAATTATTTATATTACTCATCTATTTAGGTTCATATTCCAAGGTTGCTACTTTTTTAGTAAGCTCCTCAAGCTTTTCTTTTTCTATATCCTTAAAAAAATTGACTTTCATCTTGAGGTAACTGCATATTGCTTTCCTATCATTAATACCTCTGTCCTTATGTAGTTTAGTACATAACTTGAAAATGTTTTAATTTGAAAAATTTGTAAATTGGTCTATCTTTTGCATTTCATCTACAATCCATTAAGGGAAGTAGTCAGTTGCTTGATACTATAATTAGAAAATAAATATATTCAGGATATTACCTATGAATGAATATTGTTTTGTAGCTTATACTATATAGAACTAGTAATATCGTTTTTATTCAAGGATTCTTAGGAGAGTTTATATCTTTGAAAATATTGTAATGCTGAGACATTTTAAGAATTTATTTAATCAAGATGATTGTAAAACTGCTTCAATTTTTTATCTTAAATATCATAATCTTCATTAAGGAAGCTTTCATCTTCAAGCATCTCTTTATATGGACTGCCAATAACTAGTTATTAGTTCTCATTATCAATTTATTCATTTTTAGCTTTCTGCTCTGTTGATGTTAGGTATTTACTTGGAATTTTTTATTTGATGCTCTTAAGAATATCATTAAGTGATGTTTGAGACTAATTCCTCACTCATAGTTATCTGTCACTTTTATTATTAAGATTAGATTTACTGTCAGAAATGAATAAGACTTATTTCTATTGCTTAGTTTATGAATAAAGTCTATCGTTATTTCTTTTTTAAGAATCATTAACTTTGAATAGTTAATTGCTGTAATTAATCTTGTTACTATTTTACTAATCTTCTTTGTCCTTAGATTCGACACTCTTCATATATTCATCATACAGATAATCGCTTAGCTTATTCTTCTTATCATTGCTTTGATATTCATATTATTGCTACTTTATCTTGTGGATAATCCTTTTGGATAAATCAGTATTTTCAAGTTATTATAATCTCTCTTGTCTAGAATCCGCGGTTATACGAGCCATCTTCTGAATGCTTTCATATGTTTTCTCAATCCTATTTAATTAACTCTTGGTCTGAGTATTTGCTTTAGCATATCATGTCTTCTCTTTCTAATTGGATTGTCTATTTTTAACTTATTCGATAGCAATTAAATCGAAATCGTTACGATTCTCAACAATAGTCTTACTTATAGCAGATCTGTCATTTTATCTGCTCAGTTTTCGCTTCAATTTAAAGTTTATTCCAGTATTATTTCCTCCTGTTCGAGCTACTTATCTTAATTTCTTTGAATCATTAGCATTTTAATTAATTGCTCTAGTCTCTGCTTGATCCAGATTTATTCCATATTCCTACAAATTTGTGTGGCCGAATATCTCTGTCTAATTCATATTATTTGCTTCCTCAGTATTAGAGTCAACAAGACTATATTTGCTGGCTTTAAGATTGCTGAAGTCTATTGATTTTTAGTTATTTTTTAATTTCGATTTGATTTTCCTAGATGGAACATTCTTAGTTTCTTCGTAATCTTTAATCAGTGACTTTGAATTTACATAGTTATCGTAAGCATCTGATGTGGTTTATTAATGCTAAAGCATGTTTCTAGAAATCCTTTTCGCTTTTACTATCGTGCTCATACTCTTAAGATCTCTGACATAGTTAGTATTTCCATTGATCAATCTACTAATTGTTCTCTTCTTTGCAGAAGTATCCAAGTCAGGAGACTCCATTTTATTTAAAATTGGAACACTTTTTTATTAATTGCTCATCAATCCTCACTGCTGTTTAATTTTTAATTAAATATACTGTAGATATATATCAATTAATCAAACTAGAAATAATTGTTATAAATAGCAAATTATACTTTATAAATTATCGATATACTATTATAAAAGAAAATGTTCGAGGAAATGAAAAAATTCCTGAAGGGCAAAGACCCTTTATTCTACTAAGAATTAAATAACATTGAGGAGGGCCAAAACGAATTTTCCCCAAGCAAAGAGGAATAAGAGGAAAATGAAAGACAACTTAAAATTATTGCCAAGTATCGATAGACTGATGCCTACAAAAGACTATTAAAGAGATAAGGTTAAGCAGTTAGAAGGATTGAAAGAATTAAGGAGAATTTTGAGAAGAAGAGAATGTAAGTTGGAATGCTGGCAGTGAATACTAAGGGGAATATGGGAAGTCAAATCGACAATAATGCAGATCATCAGAGATTTAATGACTTTGAAGAAGTATTGTATGAAGAAAGAATAATTGAGGAAAATTGTGAAACAGATAGAGAATAAAAAGATGGATCTGTTACGAAAAATGAAGAAAGTGATTTAAAGAAGTATGATAATGGAAGTAGACCAAGTTTGAGACAGGTATTGAGTTCATAGACTCCTCTTTCGTATCAAGTAATCATGGAAGAGAGATCGAGCATTGCCAGTATTTAAGTAACAAACAATGATAAAAGTGAAATGAAATCCAATTTAGATAAAATGAAGGATTATCAAAAAGTTCAGCCATATATGAAGACTTAGGTTAACTACTTTAAGAGGTCAAATCCTAACCGAAAAAATAATTCTTAGGGTAAAAGACTTAAATCTCTCAATAAAAATAGCTAGTTTAACCAACCAGATAACTTAAGCTTGAATTTCTCTCAAGTTTATGAAAGCTAGCATAACATGTCTAATGATAGTCCAAAGCCTATGATGATCCCTAACCAGAAATCGATGTTGAATTAAGATATGTAGTACGTAACAGGTATTTAGGTATACTAAACGGAAATCCTTAAGAATAAGAGTCTCCTTAAATCAGAGTAAAAGTCCTTTTATTAGCCTTCAATACTTCAAAATTAGCCAATCAATCAAAACTTTTAGAGCTAAATTAGAACTTCTAAGAGTAGAGGAACGGCCCTAATTAATGATCAAAGTTCTACTTAATCTAAACTTCATCCTTCATCAGTTAAATCAAACAAAAGACCATATACAACGGCTAATGGTAAAAAATACAAGTAGGATGAACCAGGAAATGATAGAATATTACTATAGAATAATACATACTACAGTGAGGTCTTTAAAAAGAGTCAGAATTCAAACAGATCACATTCAGGACAAATCAACTAATTAAAGCCTACTGAAGGTCCTCATTTTTAGAGAAATAATTAACTACCCAAAATGATGACTTAGTCTAAAGAAAATCTCAAGCAAGCTCTTAACTAAGAGTAATAAAACATTTAGAACAGCACTGTAAAAGAATTAGATGAGGAGTAATAAGACTCCAGATATTAATCTAAGAAGTAAACAATAAACTCTGGAGATGCAAATAACTCCAGTAACATCATTAACAACAGTAGATCCTATGCATAGGATGATAAATTAATCAGAAATGTAAACTCTTATAACCCAAAGTAAAATGCTTCGTTTAATTTAAGCAGAGGCGATAAAAGATTCTCAGAAAAAAAATATCTAAGTGCTCAGAGAATTTAGAAAGATAGTAGCGATATATTCTAAAAATTTGGAGTATTTAGTGATTAAGGTTTGAATCAGAGTGATATATCAAAATCAAATTAGGTTAATGGATTTAAGAATCCAGTTTAAAGCTATAATTTTAAGAAAAATCTCATTGTCCAAAACATCAAATCTAAGGACTATTGGCCTGAAAGTATCAAGCATCCAAATTAATACAGAGAGTTTTATTGGGCTCCTGATCTTAGTTTTTGTGGTTTTGCGACTAATAATAATATTAATAGATCTAATAAGAATCTTGAAAGCAAACAGTAAACTAGTTAAATCTAGAGAAGACAAAGAACATAATAGAGATTGTTTAGAATTAAACAAACAGATATTGTCAATCATAATTAGGACAGAGCTAGTGATATTTAAAGTCAAGAAGATTCCAAGCTTTGAAATCAATATCAATCAGCAATTTTATTCTATTTTATCTAATAACTTAATATATCTTATTATTTTCACTTCTTCATTATTCTTAGAATTGCCCATTGTTGGGGTTTTGGGGTTTTGGGGTTTTGGGG